GTTACTGTAAAAGGCATTTTTTTCTCTCGATGTGCATCAAGCGGCGTGCTCCGCCTCAGTAGCCATCACTCTCTCTTTCATGCCAAATTACAATATCCAAAGCACCAACATAGCATTTCAACTCAGCAAACAACACTGAGGCGCCCAACATGTCTCCTACTCAGTATGGAGCCTACTTGTATAAAGTCTGTGAACATGACCTTTCCCAGGGGACCACCACTGACTCAGGTCCACGCACATGAACGCACATGCGCCACTCACCCATCGGGGTCCTCCCGGCGTCCAGATGTGATTGATTGAGCAGAGCTGTTCTCAGGTGAAATCAACACCCACTCCTAACATCATCTTCTCAGTCATAGTCACACCCTCTTGGATCCCCGCGGACTTACGCCAACCTTCTGTCTTGTTGTCGACAAACTTTAAAGCCTGGGCTACTAACTTTGTTTAGTCATCCAACATTATTTCTTTTTGATTCACAGTGCCCTTGGATATCCAACAAAACCACCAATTAAATAGCTAAAACTTGATAAAACTATAAGTATTATTACTATATTGTTAGGGCATATTAAGTAACTGTGAGGAATTAAAAATTTCACCTCATACTTTCCATCGTTTATAACATCAAGTTGGGCATTTGAATTATGGAAAAACTTCAAGCTATTACAGTCATCTCGATTGTATCATTTGAATATTACGATATAACCAAATACATAATCAATAGTGGTTCAAGCAGTGATCCACATGATTTATTATTTTTTAATTGGAGGCATAGGAGTTTCAGATCTTAGTTTAGTTTGTTTAATTCAAAAGGGGAAAATGCAATTTAATAAAAACACATGATTAAACCATGAGTTTAACAAAAAGCCAGGACTTAGACAAGGAGGTCTAATTTTTCACCTGTAATCCCCCATTGTTTGTCCTGCCTGTTCTGAACTAAGCCGAAAGTTCAGCCGATGATACCACAAAATACAGATGAATAAGAAAAAATAACACCTTGAAGCCTAAACGGCAGTTAGGCCGAAGCGGAGATGCTTCCTAAAGCCTACCCCTTTCACATGAATTTTCAGTGAAATAATTCAGTTTCTTTATCTAAGACGTACTCACTACACAAAACGTTTCCAGAGCCAAAGGACTAACTCCAGGGGAATAAACTAGATATCACAAACAATTTACTCATCACCCGTCACCATCATGGGATGTGTTCAGACATTCTTCTTGATTACTACTAATATTTTTTACATTGTCATTTTAGAATTGTA